CATTGGTAAGCATTGATCGCAGCAGGGTGCTGTCAGCTTCGCAGTTCCGCGTCCTTTCCCGAATTGAACCGCGTGTCGCTTGCATGGTTATCTCTGGGACCTTTTTGCAAATTCAGTTCCAGATGGCTGCAATCGTTGTCGTGTTATGGCGCCCTCAGACAAAATTGCGTAGTGTGCTTGACCAGCTAAACGAATCGGTTTCTGTTGATGCACACAACGAGTGCAGGCATTTCGTACATTCGTTTGAAATTTAATATTCCAACAACTGATGAATGCAATCTTATTGCATTGAATTGGTGACTGAAATTCCGAGAAAATGTCGAGGAAAACAGAAGGTATCAATGCCTAGACAATTGTAGAGAGAACAACTTCACTGGTAAAGTTTTCTTTACACACTCCATCTGCCGCTCCTGGGGCTGTGCTCATATTAGATGGCTTCACAAGTATTATTTTCCAACCCGATCCACTCTTCTGCCATGGGGCTGTGCACACACTCGGCCCTCAACCAGCCCTGACCAGCTATGCTCATCCGTTACCAGTCGTTTGCACTTTTCCAAGCGTTTGATGATACTTTATGGAAGATTTTCAGGAACGTTTGCATCCAAACGCATTCTGCCGTGTGGGTAATTGCGTTTTAATTGCGTAGTTAAAACATTGGACATTCTGTTACTGTAGATAATAAGGGTTGTTTATGGAGATCCTTATCTCTATATGAAACGCAAACAATAGCATTTTGCAGTCTTTCATTGATAATCTACCCAACATTTCGTACAGTTTTATCTACATCAGTACACATATTTTCCCAAAATTCACGCCAGCCCACCCTGGTACTCTTATCACGCGGACACCTATGAGCTTACCCAACCCGTGATGTCTAGTCTACACCAACCCGTTGCACAGCCCTAATCAGTTCTGCCTACACCTTACCTAACCCTTGTATTTTGTTTTGTCGGATGTAACCTCCACATAACGGGCAAGGTTGAGAGTTGAGAGTACGAGAAAGGAGAGAGTTTCCGTCCGTCCCGATAACTAAGTTGCATTGAGCATTTATTCCCTGCACGCCCTGATTTATTCATCAGTGGCGAGTCGGGTTTGAGTCGCTTCATGCACTTGCTGTCCGCCTCTGAGGGATTGTCCTGTGACATGTGGCAGCAGCCGCGCTTGCGTGCAAGTGACGTTGGACAGGACTGGACTGCACTGGGCGTGCCGGGTATTGTGGCACGTAAGGTCTTCTCCGCAGAATTCTGCCCATGACTCGGATTTCTACGATTGGACGGTGGGGCAGCGCCCACGCGACGAGAACTTCTTAGTGGCGACATTGATCTCATAAATGTATCTTATCAGAGAGATCGGCTTAAGTTTTGAAAATAAAGTACATATATGTCTAAGTGTGCATACAGGCTTGCTGTTTTCCGTTCATAATGGCAAAAATAACGGGCATGGAGCAAAGAGTGATGAAAACAAGCGCAAGCAGTAGGATTGTATAATATTTATTTGATGCATCTAAATATTAACTGCAATTCTTACCCATACTCGTGCCTATACCAGAAATATCTCAGAAATTTGAGCAAACCCACAGGTTGCCCATCGATATGGGTACCCACGGGTTGATCAAACTCTTAAAGTTTCCCTGTTGTCGCACACTCCCATTCCGAACTATCTGCCACAAAAGGTCTTGTTTTTATGAGCCTCGTTTTTAAATGACCTTTTAACTTTAGCTAACTAGACCAAACTAAAACTAAATAAAAGCTGACTTTTGTTTAATTTTTCCAATAAATTACACCAAACAATGCATTGAAATACATTTTACTTGATCAACGCCTTCCCTTCTGCAGGATCTCCAAGCTTCCACCTAGACATACTAAGCCCGCAAACTCCTAGCTTCGATCTGTTCATCAACAGAGACAACACTATTTGGCCTGTTACGCCGACATTTCTTTTCTGGGTCAGATTTGTGTACAATGCAATGTACCAATACATTTTATTTGTGTACAATACAATAAAACAAAGTCCAAGCCGACAAATCAGGCTAAAACCATGAGACCGGAGCCCAAGCCGAATCTGGTGTACGGCGTTGTTTTGAGAAACAAAACCATTTTCGCGTCTCCTGAACTTTTTGGGAATACAACAAACATCACTGTATCAGGAAATGTTTGTGAAATTGTGTCAACATTGCGGAATGTGGAATTGTTAGGACTGCCGCCATCTTCTTATGTGCTAACATACATACAACGTTCCGGACAGTTCAATTGCCACCTGACGACAACCCCGGTCGTCGTCAGGTGGCAATTGATCCTGAGAAAGACGGGCTAGTGTTTGTCTTTCAGGCACGTAGGTGTTACAGGCTTGGAAAATTGTGTGGTAGGAGGATTGTAATCAGAGGACGAGCACGCTTTTTGGGCAGCAATCCGCAACTGCAGTAAAAAATTAACATGACGAAGCCGCAGACGGCGTTTCAAGATCGCATTGGCGAAAGATGGCGGGGACACAAGAAGGGTAGGCCGGATTTTAAACCAGGCCCATAACTAAAACATTACACGAAGGTGAAGTCGAAACCAGGTGTTAAAAATGACACAGGGCCAAAGGCAGTCGTGAAAAATGGCACCAATCGGAGCCGAACTCGAAGAATTTAAGGAAAACTGCGGCTTGGCAAAGCCGAGCCGCTTCATGCCCATGCCTTTTTTTAAACAACCCAATCGAGTATCTCTTGACGTTGCAAGTCGCACGTGAATGTCGACCGTAATCTGACGCACACGCGCAGCGCGACACATTCGATTGCAGCCAGTTTGGATACAACCATTTCAAGATCGCCTGGTTCTCAAGGAGACCTGGAAGCATTTTTTGGTGGAAAGGAGACCTCTGTCAGCAAACAAAACTTAGCCAATTCCTCAAAACGGAAGTGCGATAGTTGATACCAGGTTTGTAATTGGCAATAAACCTTGGCATAAGCAAGGTGCGGTCTCCAACTTTTCCGTTACGATTGTTGCAGATCTCGACACAAGATTACATCCAATCGCCGAGAAGCCCCTACACCTGAGGTACAGAGGCTGCACGGAACGAGGTCGGGAGAACCCACGCGCCAGCGGGTGCACGGGCACCAAGTGCACCCGCCTGGCCACGGGCTTACGTATCAGATCGCCGCACTTTCGGATCAGAATTCCATGCTTTAAGGATAATGAAGCGCTTTCCTGGATTTGGCGTCTTCTTTGTGATCGGAAGAATCCTGTTCAGAATCAGGAGGCCCCTCTATGTATCAAAATGCCCTTTTCTGGCACAGCAAGCCTTGTTTCAGGATTGTATGGCTCTTCGCTACATCAAGAAACAACTATTGTAACCAGACAACTCTTATTATGATCTTTGGCTGTCGATAATACTCTACTTCAATATTGATGCATCTGACAATTCGATAAGAAAGTATGTGCTTCCTTGGCCCCTCCCCTTGAATAAATATTGCCCAGGAGGCACCCCTGTGAGGAGGCTCCATTCTGTCCAGGAGGTCCTGGAAAATATTGCCCCCAAACACAAAATCTGCGACGCCACCCCTATTAATATAGCCGGTAGCTGTTAGCCCAGAAGCCTTCTTAATTATCACTTACTTATTCATCATTTCACGTTTGTGTTACTTTGTTATCTGATTTCATGGGACCAAACTCGCCACCGTTTGCGGCTCTTTATGATCTGATCGCACGGGACCAAGTTCGTGAAATGACGAATAGGTATATACATGACGAAAGGAAAGCGCTTCCATAACGAAACGGCTGTTCTTGAAAGACATTACGACAGAAAATGGGTTTGCTCCAGTTTATCCTAGTTTCCGTGCATTTAAATTCAGTGATAAATTACGTTCCTGTCTGATCGTGCTGGCGTGGAAAGGGCTAATAAGTGGCAACCTGAATTGAAAGTTTGAAGTACTCATGCACCATAGCATAAGGCCATGCTAAACGCAAGGAAATGTACCCAGAAGAGTGCCGTTGCCATTACTATGCCACATTCGGGCACAATGTCTGCCATAGGCCCAGCCCAGCTATTTTGACTTAACTCGACTTTGACGTGGTCAGCCGCAAAGAATGCTGTAACGTGTTTGCGACTGAACTTAGCGTGTCGCTTCGGCCGGAGGTCTGGGCTAGCCGCTGGGGTCGGACTAAAGCAGTAGCGTCCGCTTTATACCTGTGTTTCGGTGGAGGGACACAGCAATGTGACTGCAAGCGCCAGCCGGGTTCAGCGGGGACCCGCTTTGATTGCAGACACCCAGATCGGCTTCGAAAATGTCCCGTATTCGTCACGTCGCACGAGGGCAAGACTGGCTCAAAGCGTAATCGGAGAGAAACGCAGCCTTGAAAGGAGTGGGAGAGAAAATCACAAATCTGCTCTGTGATTAGTGGGACTGCGCGCAATCACTGTTTTTACGAGTCCGACGCGAACCGGACTAGAACCGATCATGCACGCTCCCTACGCTATACTCGCTCTAAAGCATCAATCAGAGTTCGTGGCGAGTGCAAGTGACATGGTTTCCCAAATCCAGGTATTCGGCAAACGTTTGACAAAAGCAGCAGTATTACCTGCGCCACGTTCAGCTCGTCGAGCCTGCACCAGGAGAGCGGGTGATGTGACGCGGCGGGCCCCGCGCGGCGGCGCCGACATGCTGACCCAGCAGGGCACTTAATGGTGTGCCAGCCCTGCTCGGTCTCGGCTCGGACCGCGGGCGAGCCGCTTGCTTCAAAACAGGTCACAGACGGGTGCTCAGACTGATTCCGGAGTGTCTCCCCTCAGCCTGCCATTGTGCTACTCCATGATGCACACTGTGGACAGGCGGCATGCGGCGTGCGCTGCGGCTGATCCCTCTGCTGCCTCAGTCCGCCCCGCTCCCAACGGCTACAGTCAGGCGCGGGCCGATGGGCGTGGATGCCGTTAGGGTAGTGGTGCGACGTGCTGCGTGTCACACTCCCTTCCATGGCTCAGGCACCACTCAATGGTCAAGCAAGCGCTCAGTCAATACGCACCATCTTTTCGAAGAAGCCCTGGCCTTGCAGTCGGTTTTCCCTCCAGGGTTTTCCGCCGGGGCCGGCCTTCCCGAAGTCGTCAAGAACGCTCGCCGCCTGGCCTGCACAACAAACGGGCGCGGGACCGTAGCCATGGGGTGACTAACCTAGCGAGCAGTCTACTGCTTGCTACGCGTCTGTATTTTGTGACCAGAGCGCTGGCACTAAATTTAAGCGCAAACTGCATATTAGTACCAGGTATCTAAGACAACATATTTCAAAATTTACCTTGTAAATTGCATGTGAGTTAAGACGTAACATTCCACGTCATTTTTGGACACACCGGAATGTCCAAGGATGTACGTCCCACCGTAGGTAAAACGATGGAGATAAGGCAAGGAGGACATTATTGTAGAGTACTCTGCAGAGACATTACGCCAATGAGCAATCCATGGAATAAAGTACCAGCATTTCTGAAATACCTCACCCCCTCCCGCGTCTTTCCTTCCACTTTTCGCCTGTAATGGAGCCTCCTGTGCCAATGCATTATCACTAACAACGAATTGACCCGTGAAATCAAAAAGGTCCTCGAAATATTACCCAAATGAAGCATACCTGAATGTCAGTGGCGGCACTTCCATCAAGACTCTTTAAAAGAAACGTTCCAACTTTGAGGAAATTGAGCCCAGAACCAGACATGATGAAATATGCTTACTCGTGTCGTGCTCACAAACGCTGGATATGAACGACGCGAACATTATTTTTATCGGCCTTAATCGCCGCATGGCTTATGGAATGGCATATTTCAATGGCATTGTTAAAACATCATGAATGTCGAGGTGACTGAAAAAATCTCCCAAAAACCTTCCCTATTTTCGCAAGCCTGTAGCTCAGAAACTAAAGGCGCTTCGATCTTAGGAAGGGCAGAGCTGTGAACCGCAGCGAAAGGCCTTCAAGATGGCTTTATCAGTTCAAGACCCCACACAAATGTGGCAAACTACCTTTAAGCACGACTTGCCCAAATTTCAGAGTGCATTAGGGCAAGTTTTCGAAAAGCTTTCACAACTTTGGATAATGATAAGACTTGCCTTGTTGCGACATTTTTCAACGCATTTAGCGCCTTAACTTATCAAAATCCCAAATCACCTATGCAGCCGTCGAAATTTGCTCCAAGCTTGTACGTGATAACATATACAATACGGAACGTTCTTTTAGTTACCTTTTACTCTGATATTAGAAACATGGCCTAGCTACTCACCAAGAAATTGAGCATTAGAGTATCCTGAGCCAGACTAAGCTAAGATTGTTTAACGCTTAAGTCTAAGTTAGGACCATCAATATCTTGACCAGAGATCGCCAATGTAAACCTCTAGTTAGTTGGCATCACCACCCACACTTGACACTGATGCATGCCAACGTTTATGGTGTCGATATTAGTGACGAGGGTGCGTGCTATTAGTCAGCTGAAAGTGATTCGAGATCTTTATCAGCTAAGAACGCATGAAAAGAAAAGGTCGAAGGTCATAGCAATGCATCTGCCCGGCTGACCAGGCCCCGTTTCAGTGCCTCGGCTGCCCCAGGAGGGTTCGTACCGGTACCGCTAAAAGCCGTTAGAACTAATACGTTCGCAATTCGTAACGATTTCTACAAAGCTTTACAACGTTGAAGCACTTATCTCAGAGCCATAAATGCTTAAAGTTTAACTTATCGCTAACTTCAATCTGTATTATGTCGTCATCTAACAGTTGACTGAAACGTTCACGCCGCGAACGTTGATTCCGCGTTAACACGTGACTAGAGTTTTGACTGGTGCAGCTGTAAACAAAAAGTGACGTCCAAAGTTTGCGTGAAACGGCGGCTTTCTGAGGCAAGCGAATTGTTATCGTGCGTCCTACGCAGGCCAGAGCATGTACTTCCATGCTCCATCACGTGAGCGTGGCAGTATGTCCAGAGCCTGTCTAAAGGGACGGCTAGCTCGTCAGTGATCAGAAGTGATCTAACACACCATGACCAATACAATCTCCGAGTCATCATCTATTTGGGAACACTGCGAGGTTTAATGCCCCGCGCGCGGTAAATGCGCACGTGAAGTGAATCCGACTGGTGCTATACGGCTTCCTTCCGATGAAGTCCCGGCACAAACATCACGGGAATCAGAGCCTCAGGTCTCCATCTCCACGCCCTGCCCCGTACTGCCCTGAGCGCGTACGCGGTGGGAGCGTACTGACCGTCGGCCAGCGCCGTCCGCGGCTGCTCCATGGCGCCAGGTGCCGCGTGTCGCTCCCGTCGGCACCGACGTCGGACTGCGAAGGCGACAGCCAACGATGGCGACGACCGACGCGCGCGCCGACTGACAAGGCGTCGGTCAGCGTTCTCGGAGCCGGTCGGAGCCGCCGCAGCCGGTCAGAGCCCCCGGAGCCGGTAAGAGGCCTCGGAACCGGCCAGATGCCCTGGAGCTGGCCGGAATCTGCCAGTGCCCCTAGAGCCGGTCAGAGGCCCTGGAGCCGGTCAGGGGCTCCGGAGCCGCTCAGAGCCCCCGGAGCCGGTGAGATGCCGGAGCCGGTCAGTGCCCCTGGAGCTGGTCAGAGGCCCTGGAGCCGGTCAGAGGCTCCTGAGCCGGTCAGAGGCCCTGGAGCCCATCGGAGGCCCTGGAGCCGGGAAGAGGCCCGAGAGCCGGCCCGATGCCTGGAAGCCAGTCAGAGGCCACGGAGCCGGTCAGTGGCTTCTTGGGCTAGTCCGTAGTCCTGCGGCCAATCGGCACGGATTTTCTGGCGCAGCGACGAGGTAGGCCTCGGGCTCGGCAGAGTCCAGAGACGGTCAAGGGATGTCCGGTTTAATTTCAGGGAGTTGAGAGAGAGAACTGAGTTGCATGGAAGCGTTGTTCAGCTGTCCGAGGGCCGATCATGCATCTAGAACATCTTCAAATTTTACCTTCATACGAGGGTAGCTTCCTGAGTTGATGGCTGTTCAGCCCTGTCAACGATCTAGGAAATCATGGACCTGGGTTTAAATCTAGACCGAACGCGAGACGGCGCGCAGAAAAAAGTGAGACGTACGCCTTACTGGGATGAACACCAACCAAGCAACCAGGGTGACAGGGTGACAACCAACCAACCAACCAGGGTGACAGGGTGACAACCAACCAACAAAACAGAGTGACAAGGCCATCGTCGTCGTCATAAGGGCTTCATGACTTTCTCGGCTGCTGGGGCTATATGACGTTGCCTGCCTCTCATCCTGACAGAAAGAGCGGACACCGCGCTCTATTGGCACCCCGTGGTAGCAAGGTCGCTCTGTATAGGAGAGAATCGTAATGGTACCCCGGCCACAAGGATTTCGATAGTCGCCCCATGGTTCGAATGCCCGGAAAGGAAACTTAGTGATCTCCGAGTTCAAAATGGTTCACTAAGGGCTGAAGAATCATACCAAAGTCAGAAAAGATCGCCTGTGGCTTCATCGTCGCCTTTAGGTCAGAGGAGGGCCTCGATGTAAAAATGCTCTTTTACACCACTACAACTGGCAGACAGGCTTCCAGCTGGTAAAAAGCTGACATGTTTTACTCGCTTTAATACCAGGCAAGGTTAGTTTTAGTCTCGAAGATAGCAGCATCTTGTTGGTGGTTTTAAAATTCGCGTCTTTCAACATCATGTGATTTATAACGCTGGCCGTCGGCGAGTAAACAAAAGGTTGGAATAAGATATGAGCGCTGCAGTCCAGATGTGGCCTGAGACCATGCTCCGGGCACTGAGGCGCCACATGAGCTTCCTGAAATGTGCTTAAGAATGAATACATTTGGTTACTCAGAAAAGCTACTTCTGCTAACTTTTAACCCTCGCCCTGAAATGACGGGGAGTGGATGCGGCCCCCTTCCCTTAAGATTTTCTGGGGACATGTTTCCGGCATGTCGTCCAACCGCAACCAAATTTCTGTGACTTCCAAATGATTCATTTGACATCTTTTGATATCAAAGACGTGTTTTTAGCATTCCTGGATTCTGAGATCGACAGTTTTCCGATGAACACTGCACGGTGATCTATGACCGTCGCGAGCGGCGCAAGGCAACCGTCGAATCCGCCGATCGTGGCCGGTGGGTATGTCAGTTACAGGGGTGTTTCACATTTGTATGGGGTTTAGAACTGAGATAGCCATCTTGAAGACCTTTAGGTGCGGTTCAGGCCCCCCCCCCCCCGTTCTTAAGGCCTAAATTCCCTCTAGTTTCGGAGCTACATGCCCCGAGCATCGGGAGACTATTTCGGGAAGAGTATTTCCAGGTCACCTTGGCACTCATGACTTCATAATAACGTCATTCAAATTCTGCCATTCCATAAGCCATACGGCGATGAATTCCGAGAAAAATATAATGGTCGAGTCGTTTATACCTGGTGTTTGTGACGACGGTTCCCAGATATAATGGCTGTCGAATGGCTTCCAATCAATGTTGTACAAGGTACGATAACGTAATCAAATAATGACATGTCGAGGAGTATCTTTACTAGACAGATAAACTGTGTAGTCTAGCAGTTTTTTTACTTAAAAGCATACCAACATAATAAGAGAGCTTGTTTCATCCTATCTGATGCTTGCTTCGGTATGTTCAAATGTAAAACATTTCTTTTAAAGGGATTGCTCCACATTTTCATCGTGTGTACACCTGAGACAGCCATTTTTTATGATGTTACCATACAGTTCACAGCCTTTATAAACTCAAAAGCCCGTTGTTCCTAAGCTTCATCCACGTGAGCTTGTGCAGCCTATTACGTTCTGCCTATTGGGAAGTCACTCAAACATGCATGACGTTATAGAAACGTCACGCCAACAATCCATTTCACTGGCTTTATTCTGCTCCTGATCACTATAAATATGGCGGCCACAATCACCGCAGATCATCGCATATCACCGCGAATATATCACTGTGCTCCTGATCACTCTAAACATGGCCGCCAAATTACCGCAAATCACCGCATATCACCGCAAACATATCACCGTGCTCCTGATCGCTATCAATACGGCCACCACAATCACCACAAATCATCGCATATCACCTCAAACATATCACCGTGCTCCTGATCACTATCAATATGGCCACCACAATCACCACAAATCACCGCATATCACCGCAAACAGTCGTGTTTGTGGTGGTGCAGCGCCAACTGCTCCAAAATGCTCTTACTATTACTATTACTTACTACTAAGCTCAAAACTTAAGTAACGTGTTTCGTAGGTGGATTCTGCATTACGATAGACGTTATCAGGCAAATAAGGTATCCTTTCTTCATTTGTAACCTCATCTCGATCCACTGTAATGAACACTTCTGAGACCGCTTACCTTTCCCGTGCGAGGCGTTCCGTGGGTAGAGCATCAGGGGTACACAACTGTTTCCGGCCGAGGGCTGAAGGGCCATTCCGTTCCAGCGCGGGGTGTCTTCCGGCTGTGATTCTGTTGCCCCGGGGCGGAGTCCCCTGGTCGGTCTTCAGACCTTTAGAGGGATGCACCGTGCACTGGTTCCTACCCTGGTGTGGGAGACCTTCTAATTCGGCCAGTCGGCCCGGGTCCAGATCGATGCAGGAGCCCTCATTGACGCAGCAGGATGTCTCATTGCCGCAGGTGGAGACTTGAAAATTATTTAGCCTTCAAACTAATGCACCCTTGGCTGAAATGACGTGAACGCCCCTCCCCCTCTCCCCCTCCCCCCCCACGTTTAGTACTTGAGTTGCTGACTGGCAGAGGGTCCTTTTACTATTCCATTTTAGACTTATTGTCTCATTTCGTTGCACCATTGTCTCCTATTGGTGTAAAAGGCCGTTTGACTGACATCTGAGCTGACGGCCTTGCGGATGGGAAACCTTAAGGTGGCGCATCTTTCAGGCCGTTCAGCCTTCCGATCAAGCCCTCGATCATTTGTCACGAGGTGATGTTCGGAGCCCTCTTTCCTCTCCTCCCCCCCCCCCCCCCTCCTCCTCCGTGCCCTATCGAACATGTCAACCGGCCTTTCATTTGGCGTCTGACTGTCACTTGATATCACGGCCCTACAGGCAGAGATCCTTAATGTGACTTTTCCATTCCGCCCTTTTTGGTCCTTCGGCCTTCCAACTGGCCTCTTGCTCGTCGGTCGCAAAGGGCCCATCGGGCCCCGTTTCGGTTCCCCTTGAACACTGCCCCTGGTTGACTGGTGGCCCCTTGCCGACACATAACCCCCTGCAAGGCTGCAAGGGTTTCTGGCCTTTACAGAGGGCTTCTCATTGACTCAGGGGCCCCGAACAATGTAAGTCGCGGGTCCCAGCGCCGTCCTTGCTCGGGAAATGGACTCTCAGATTCAGACTGACAGGTAGCCTGACTGACTCTCAGATCCAGACTGTTCAGTGCTGGTGGCGCTTGACCAGCATGGAGACCCTCATCACAATTGGCGCCCAATTGGCGCAAAGGGCCCAGGGCCGGGACCCCAAGATGACTTCGGACACTCAAATCGGGCCTTTAATCGTCGGAACGGTCCCTCGGGCCCTAAGATTCGGCACGTGCCCACCGTGCCCTCCTGCCTGCGCACCTGACTCCAGCTCACCTCTCTGTAGCTGGGCCGTGGGTGTCACTACTCCGAACTGAGGTGCGCCCGCCTCCAGCGGCGGCGGCGCTACCTGTCCGGCGGGTACGGCCAGTGCCATTCTCCCGCCGTCGACCCACGAGCATCGGCGGGTGGTCACGGTTGCGCCATCTGTCGGCGTTGTTTTCAATAAAGTTTGTACCGAAGGAAGCGGTGTGTTTTTCGTTGAAGCCTAAATCCGTGCTTCAATGGCAACGGCCCTTCTGTCATGTGCCTTGTGCCTCGCCCCATGTGCCTTGTGCCTCGTGCCACGTGCCTCTTGCCATGTGTCTCGGGCCCAGCGTGGACACTGGTTCACCGCCACTGCCCGTGATCCTGCTCTGTGCGTTAGGCCCTGCGTGGACACTGGTTCACCGCCGCTGCCAGCGACCCTGCTCTGTACGTTAGACCCTGCGTGGACGCTGGTTCACCGCCACTGCCAGTGACCATGCTCTGTGCGTTAGGCCCTGCGTGGACGCTGGTTCACCGCCACTGCCAGTGACCATGCTCTGTGCGTTAGGCCCCGCGCGGACACTGGTTCACCGCCACTGCCAGTGACCCTGCTCTGTGCGTTAGGCCCCGCGCGGACACTGGTTCACCGCCAGTGCCAGCGATTTTTCCAGCGAGCCTATCGGTGAACGGTGATGATGCGACTCCATGTCCGAGGCGTTCAGAGTTAAACTTTGTCCCCTTTGTTGGGAACAGAGCTGACGTTTCTGGTTGGTGTTGAGCGTGGAGCGCACTGATGTGCAGAGGCGGTCTGATGTCGCCCGCCACCCGACAACAGTACACAGCTGGCACAACGGAAGCAGAAATGGATGCTTCAACTTCGTATACCGACTGTGTGTATTTTATAAATGGTTTACAAAGAACGTATGTCATGAACATGCAGCCAATAAATATGCTGAAGTCAAGGTAATCAAACCATTTCGTTGGTAAGTGGAATAAGCCCCACCAATTTCCTAACACCTTTCTTCAGAGACGGAAGAACTTTGGCCAGCAGCATGCAGTCACAGTCCGGCCCGACCCTGCGCTCTTGCTTTTCATTCTTCGATGGCGCTGCTTCTGAGTGATCGAGTGCAGATGACTGAAGGCTTTGCACCTAGAACATCGCACAAGCAGTCAGTGTTTGTATGGGAAAGCACCCAGAACGCACGTGGCAGCGCTTCTGAACATAGCGTCTTATGGAGAAGCGCCAACGTATGGAATTTGACAAGGCCTCGATCCGCCATGTGCTTGAAATATTTCCGCCCAAGTACTTCTTACGCTGTAGTGCTGATTGTTTTTATCTCCTTTTTTGTTTTAATGTCATTGCCATGAACTGAAAAGCAGTATCGGATGTGCGAGGGGACCGCGGCGTTCACCAGAGCGGCGACTAGTGCCTCAGATATGATTAACCAGCGAAGATACCGAGACAAACTCCTGTGACGAGAGACAAATGAGAATTCCAGCTAAGAGACGAATCAAAGACTAGTCCTACATTTGGACATCCGAGCGACGGGACAATTCTTGCGCATTAGAGTGCAAGATAATGGTCGGAGGGCTGTGCAGATTTTGTGGGCTACCGAATAAGATCATTTGCGTCTTCTCAGCAATCACTTCAAATTCTGGAGTGCGAAACCAAACATCGCGATGGGTGATGATGTTGAGATTGAGTTCTATCTGCAAAACGGCGTTTTTCAACTTGATCTTTTTGCTGCTCACTGGAATTCGGGTGTCGTCCGCATGCTGCACAACGACTGCACTATCTGCGAAGAGGCTAAGACCGTTCGCGAAGATACAATATAGTAGGGAACTTAATGCCGACCCCTGGAAAACTCCCATATTGTTAGGCAGCTTTGTAGAGAAGTTGCTGTTTCCCAACCCGTTAAATATTCTCAGCTCTGAGCATGGTCTATGAGTTTAGCCGAAAATCAAGAGACATCGATAATGTGCAGGCCAAGTTTAGACAGTCATTTTAGTGGTCTGTCACACTGAAGTGTTTACTAAATCAAGTAAGCAGATAGTGGCATGTCTCCGTAATTGTCGGCAGTTAGGATTTGATCTGATAACAAACCAGCCCGGGTGCAGTAGGAGGGCGTGGTCTGAAACTGTGGTTTGGAGTAAGGAGGTGGTTATTAGGGATGTAGCTAAGAGCTGCTGGTGGATTATACGCTCCATTATTTTTGTCAGTATCTTCTTTTGCATTTTTTTCTGAACACGATCACGTTTAAAGCTATGGGTTCCATGAGTTACGACAGTCACTCGCACACGAAAAAGGAAACATCCACAATAGACAGAGTTAGACCATTGAACAACATTTTAAGCGTACCAGGTTATTCCGTCACAAGTGTGTGTTTGTGCCACTGGGGCTTTTACGACGCACCCAGCTGCTGAGTCTATATGGCGTCGCCTGCTTCTCACCCTGGCAGGAAGGGCGGGCACTGCGGGGAATCGAACCCCGCACCTCTGGCTTCCCAGACGCGCAGCAGTTAACTACGCCACCGGCACCCGGTCCCCCACAAGTGTTCTCACGTTGTGATGCAGTAGCTGTTTTTGTTGAAAACACAATAAGCTGTCAGGATCAAGGAAGAACAGGGGCACTAAACTTGTTTTCGGCACGTGCCGACATTTTGTTTGACATTTTCATTAATTTTGGCCGTGTTCCTTTACTGGGGTCTTGAAATTAGTGCAACTCAACGATCGGAGCAGCAAATGGCGTAAACGTCGTTAGGTGTATTCACAAAGACGGATTTGCATTTCAGAGCTGTTTGATTGGAAATCATGACATCTGTAAGTAATCTGGAGCAGGAAAGTATCAAAGACCGCAAGGTGGATAGAAACTTTCTTGTTCCTAAGAACTTTCACGACAAAGCCTTAGAATTAGGTGGTAAGCTATCGCAAGAGGAAGCATTCCTGGATACATACTATGACACGAGTGATTTTAAGCTAACCTTGGCAAACTATTGGTTGAGATCTAGGGCAAACGTCTTTGAACTCAAATATCCTACTGGTGGTGCTGATAGCGACTATGCCAGCCAATATCAAGAAACCAAAGATAATGAAACCATCGTAAAACAGCTTTGCCTGCTACTGGACTTGAAAAAGGACAGCATAACTAGTGTCAAGGAATTATCAACGCAGCACCTAGAGACGTTCGCAACCATCGAGACTATGCGGAAGGTTTACGAGCTTGACGGCTGCACGATATCGGTCGATGTTGCAGACTTTGGTCTGGACCTTGGTATCATATCGGTGCGTCAAGAAAAAGATGAAACCATACTGCAGGCTACAAACAGGATAAATGATGTTGCAAAGAAACTAGGATGCACCTCATTTGCAGACCTAGATATGAATAGTCTGGTGAAGGACAGCCTTCCTCAACTTTCACTCGATGAGAAGTGTTTGGGAGATGAGGCATGTGGTGGGGATAATCAGACGAAGAAATCAGAAGAAGACGATCGTAAGGCCGAATAAGGCCATATCTAACAATGGGGTGCAAAACTTCCGTGATCTTCACGACTTGGAAAAAGGTTTTCGCCCCTTTGTCAGAGAATTCGCAAGTACACAGGCAACTTTGTCAAGCCTGTCCAGTGGTGCAAGGGGACACCGAGGGATGTGCGATAACTTCCAAGATGCCTTTGTGGAGGATGCTAGGTGATGTCCGGGCTCAAACATAGCTTCAAAAGCATGTTATTTGGAGCCAGCTGTCTAAACTGTACAGCGTATATAGCGTTTTGAACGAATTGGCCAGTCATCTTTACCAATCCATCAATAAAATACGTGCTTGGCGACGCTGGGTCATATCGTTTAATACGAGGCTGTCCGTCTGTTGGATGCATTTTGAAGTCACAATGTAAAAACTGCATCTTCAATATTATCTCATTTTAGTCTAAATTTAAATTAATATTGTTCTAAAAATATCCTGACAATAGTGAAATACATATCAACCTTAAAAACGTTTGTTTAAAGGAATGTTAAAGTTTATACACTGCAGGTATCTGACAAACATATAAGAAAGACGGTAACAATTATATTCATGGCGCTGAATAAATTCTGGATACGATGCACATGTCAATATAATTGCTACTTACCACTACAACATCGTGTAACCAGCACCTCCTGGTATATTGAAGATCGCTAACTTTACACAAAAACTTTCAGCTCACCTGACAAAGACGATGATTTCAAGAGAATGTACCACCGCACGCTTTCACCATTGCCCCGCAATGAGCGCACGGGGCTAAGTTAGTAACAAGTGTATCTGGATGACCCAAAGTCTAAGTCAGTCTAAGTGGATCAGTCAAAGTCAAAGTCAAAATCAAAGTCAAAGTCATAAGCATGATATTTTATTAAAAGACTTGCTTAAAATGTTTTTCCTAAGATTTTAGGTATATCAAAAATTGGTGAAATATGCAAGCATTCACCTTCATTCACCTCCAGCACAGCCACCACCAACCATGCCATTCCTGTTGGTCGTGGGATATGGGGATTCGGCTCAATTGCGACGTTTGAAATGACGCATTTATTGCAACATAATAATTTCAGATGCAAACATTTTAAGTCACTAATCACAGTCAACATTTATTCTTTTTTTACACAGTTTCCAGCAGCAAGACTCGCAATCGCTGAAAAGCTGTGCTCTATAGTTTGTTGATATTTGCTAATTGACCTTGACGGTGCGCGGATTCTCCTGAAAGATGGTTATTTTAACACAATTTTGGTGCCGGCAATAAACAATGTAAGTGGCTTAGTTGATGAATGAAACTAAATTAATGCAAGACGGCTAAACTGACAGCTGAAAATTAATGACCTACGTTAATGAAACTTCTGCAATTCATTTCACATTAGAACAGGATTGAGGTCGGATTTTGCCGATCTGGGTGCACAAAGGCTTGAAACCAGTTACATGGTGTAGGTGAATAAACAGTCTGCAACTCACTACACGATATCAACATGACTCAACCCAAAGACGCGCCAGCAATTGACCAAGAAGTGGCAATTTCGTATTCCCGAAATCGTTATCATTGCAACGCGCCGCGTAGACCGAAAAGCGTCGGGCTGTAACGGATGAAGGGGTGTGTGGGACTGTTTATTGTTGACCAATACCCACCCAAAACTTTGTGCGATCACACTTTTTTTACCTTGGCCACCAAAACTGTGGATTGCTGCAAACGGACTAATTGCGTCGTCCGCGGCTGTTGAACTGATCTTGTAGCGCACGGACCCATAGCTAGGAAACTTCACTCAATCGCACTTTTTTAAAATTAACTCGCGAACACTACGTCAGCAAAAATTCATTGTCTCCTATTTTGGTATTACCTGCGAGATGGTAATTGGTATGCATCGTGCCTGTTCTTATCTCATCTATACCACATCGCTCCAAGCATCTTGCTGAAGGATGCCAGGCTAAGCAAGATCAGTTTCAGCCAAATTTGCCAAACAAATAACATTTAAGTGAATAAATTGTATTTTCGCGATCCGAATGACACTGAACGAGCCGAGTCACATTAGCAGATATGCGATGCCCTTTTACAACTGTTTCATAACTAAAGCCAAATGAAAATAACAAATGTTCCGCCAGCTAGTGTTGAGCCCAGCTCTGCGTGAGACTCCAGTCGTAGCTAGTACTCACCAATGCGTATGACCTCAGTTCCTTGGATTATTGATGGTGATGGCGAAATTTCCTTCAACCTGCGAAATCCTGGCGTTGTCTGTGCTATTCCGCTTCCTGCGTAGAACGCTGCTGCGTCGTTGGTAATCTGTGGAGAGGGGAGCGTGGTTGTTCTGTGGCAGATCGTCGTAATGGGCACGTTATCGCACCTTGCGCCTCGAATTTCAGCGGTCTTATTTCTGAAGAAATCATCAATAGACGACACCATCTTAATTATTTTAAGGCGCTGAACTACACAGTTGAGCACGAAAACCTCAAAACGTCGTTCCACCGACCTTCCGCCTAGACGCCTGATGCGTAGAGGCAACAAAAACCTGTTAATTTATGAAACGCTTTCATTGGTTTAGTACGTCCATTTTTCCGATCATTTATAAATGCTGCATTATGTTGGTAAAGAAAACGAGTGGCACGGTGTTTCATTACGTTGCAGCTCATTGTTGCTGACGCTGCATGGCCTAATCCCAGACCTCTAGCAATCAAGGCACGAGGTCACATTTTTGACTGTGTCCATGAAGACGTGGCGGCTAGATGGGCAAATAATCAAGGGTAGAATTGCTGCATCCACCTCACCCGTCTCCGAGACGGTGTCGGTGGAGTTGCGTATGTTCCTGTCCAGGTCACTCCTGCGCGTGATGTCGGTGGTCGCCTGGTGGCTGTCCGCCCTCAGATGCAGCATCGAGTTGGTCCCGTCTGCAGAAGAGATGCCAGATTTGGACACAGAAGCAGCAGCGAAACCCTGCTGGCTCTGGACCGGTCTCATCCGCATGCGTTTGCGTCGTTCCGATGCCGGTGCCCAGTCAAAACATTCCATTATTTTCGGTTAAAAGAGGAATATATTTTTGCATGTTCTTACGCCGCCGTCCAGCGACACCCTACAAACGGACCTCGTATGCCGTCTGGGAGGTGCACAAGTGGCCTGAGGAGGGACGGAGGGCTCCTCCCGAGATGCGCACGACATAACCGGTCTGTCAGTCAAAGGTTACACTGTTAGCCGCGGAATCACTTGGGGGGCTCGTGCCAGGACTCGCGTAAAAGCACACGTTTTTTTGTGAATGTACGGTGTGATAATATCTATTGAATAATAGCGATACAAGCAACCTGCTACTTAACATGTTGCTGCGCCATTTGCTACGCAGATACACTGTTGATAGCTCGGAAATGTCCATTGCTTCCTGCAAAAGTCTGCACTCAGTTCTTATCTCGGCGCGAGTGGATGATTCCGATTTACCCGCAGGGTGCGGGCACCTACCGCGGCCAACCAACGGGGTCTCCGGTGCGCATGCTCTAGTGCCCCCAGGGTCCCAGCTTCAAACGGTGCCTGCTAGGTCTCCAGCTCGTTAGGTGTTAACCAGCTACACAGCCCTCAGGCTTGTCAACAAACCTGAGGGAAACCTTTTAGGCCAACTAGATGCCTCTGGGGGCCTGAGCCCCCCCCCCCCCCCAACCAACGCTGACTTTGACCACACCCCACCACTAGTGTTCCTCTAAGCGCTCTCAATGCATATGAGCAAAGAAGGAATGCTGGGCTAAATATATGCAAATTATGTCTCCAACTATTGGTACCTGCACCTATATCAATGCACCCATATATATATATATATATATATATATATATATATATATATATATATATATATATATATATATATACAGGCACCTGGAAACATCGTTTTTAGTATCATGCCCATTTCTCACCAAACAGTATCTGTAGGGGCCTGCTGTCTTTGGCATGCCAACTCTTTCATGCTTTAGGCAAGCAGTAGCGTAGGCAGGGGAAGGGACATCTGCCCCCCTAAGGTTCCGATGGGCCCGAAGGGTCCCTCGGGACCTGCAAGTAAGTTCTCGAAAGCCCGCCGGCAGTCGTAATTAGGGGCCTGGCACGCAGGGCCGGGCACTCCAGAGGGTCGCTAGCCAGAGGGCCATACGCGCTGATTAGGGGCCCCTGAGTCGATAAGGGCCCATATGTCGGCCAGGCACCACTAATAACGCGCAGTCGGCTCCGTGTCGGCATGGGCTTGATGGCCCATTTCCCAAAAAGGGACAAAGCAGGTGCAAGCGACTTGCATTCTCCAGGGCCCCAGCGTCTGTCAGGGTCCCACAGCACCTACCAGGCGGCCCTGTGTTGGCAAGGGACCCGAGTCGGCCAGGGACAGTGTTTGAGGCAGGCCAGAAGAGCCTAGAGGGCCCACCGGGACCGACGACCAAGGGCCAAGTTTGAGGGCTTAAGGACACGAAGGGCTGGTCGAAGTCTTATTCAGCTTCCCGGCCTGCAGGGACGGGCCCCCAAATGACAGTTAGAACGTTTTTTGCGCCGATCGGGGACCGCCTGAGTCGATATGGGCCTATATGTCGGTCAGGAGCCACCAATGCCACACAGTCGGCTCCGTGTCGGCATTGGCCTGAGGGTCCACTTCCTAATGGCCTGCAAAGCCGTGGCAGGCGATTTACTGGTAGGGGCCCCTGTGTCTGTCAGGGGTCCAAAGTGCCTAACAGAGGGTCCTGTGTTCCCATGGGGTCCCGAGCCGACTGATGGCAGTGTTCAGTATGGCCCGAAGAGGGGCCCGGGCGGTCCACCGGAACTGACAATCAAGGGCCCGGCTGGAGGGCATAAGGGCCGGACAGACCGGGTGTAGGTCGCATAAAGAATCGCAGCCCGTGGGGCTGTGACCTGCAATATCAGTCAGAGGTCCTCATGTACCGTTTGAGAAGCTCCTGAGACAAGACAAGGTGTCTCAGTCGGTCAGAGACCATGAACACCAAACAGCCGGCTCCCCGGCCGTCTGAATCCTTGAGACCCATTTCCTAAGCAGAAACGAGGCCGGAGTTCGCGATTTGTAATGTTCGGGTCTCTGACACAATGAGGAGCTCCTGTATCGGTTAAGGGTCAGAGTGCCGGACAGGTGTCCTGTGGCGACGTGTAACTTCGAGTCGGGGCGGTGTTTGAGGGGGCCCGAAGAGGGGCCGAAGGGTCTCTCGAGACCAAAGATCAAGAGCCCGATGGGATGGCTGAGGGATCCGAAGGGCTGGCTGTAGGTCACATTAGGGACCCCGCCCATTAGGGCCTTGGTCTAATACATTGATCGGAGAGAGCCTTGCGTCGATTGGGAACCCTTGGGACAGTGTAGGCCTCTATTTCGGCCAGAGACCACCGACACCGAACAGCCGGCTGCGTGTCTGCCTGAGTCCTGGGTGCCGAGTTTCCGAGGACGAGGAAGGCCGAGCTCGCGATTTGCATAAGTCGGGGTCACTGAAACCATGAGGGTTGGGCGCTGTCGGCTAGGGGCCCACAGTGCCTATCAGGGGATCTTGTGTCGGAAAGCGGCCCGAGTCACCATGAGCCTTGTTTGAGGAGGTCCGAAGAGGGGTCCGAAGGGCCCCTCGGAACCAAAGATCAAGGGGTCCCGATTAAACTTCGAACTCAAGTCAGAGGGCTTCTATAATGTCCCTCTTATTACGGTTCTCTCTCATAATGAAGGCTCTCGACAGAAGGTCAGATAGTCGGCTCTATGTCCGTCTGAGCTTTTGGGGTCCATTTCCCAAGCAGGAACAAGGCCGGGGCCGTGATTCGCAGCGTTCGACGTCCTTGACACAGTGAGGGGCTCCTGTGTCGGGCATAGGCCACGGCGTCTAACTGGGGCCTGTGGCAGCAAGTGGCCCTGAGTCGGTCAGGGGAAAATTTCCTCAGCAAGGACGGGACGAGTCCCCAAATGACAAAGGGTCTCTTACGTTGGTCGGGGCTCTCTGACAATGAAAGGAAACATGCGAACTTATGATGAGTGTTCACATTGAGACAATGGAAGAATCCTGTGCCAATCAGGACCTCAGTACCGAAAGGCGGGCCCTCCAACTCAATTTCAGCATGGGTCCGTTAAACCGAACTGGCGTCTATGTACCGATTACTGGACCACCTGCGGCGATCGCGGATGTTGTTGCGTCAATGAGGGCTTCTGCATCGATCCGGGGCCAACGGCGCGGGTCAGAAGGCCTCCCGGGTCAGGGAGGGGACAGGGAGGGAAGAAAAAGAAAGAGAGAGGGAGACAGATTTAGAGATAGAGACAGAGAATGAGAGAGAAAGGGTAGTGCAGACCATAAAAACGATCTTGTGGGGATTAAAACGTGCTTGCTAATGCCTGATCACTTCTCTCTAAAGGCCATGTGGTCACGCAGCCTAAAGACCATATGGTCAACGCGGCAGACCTAGCTGGCAGTGGACTGGCACGCGTTATCACCGTGACCTTTATTTGCGTCTCATTCACGCGACTTTCAGTTGCTGCCGTCCCTTGGTCCCAGCTCCCGCCGGCGGCGACCTACCGAAGCTGACAGAGACGGCGACGCCGCGCCTGTCGGACGTGGAGTTGGTGTCGACCAGCACGGCACTGTTGGTGGCGTCTCGCAGCTGGCTGTTTTCGAGTCGGGGCCGGGTGCCGCCGGTCACGTGCCGGGTCCTGTTCTGCTCGAGCACGGTCGAGTTGTCGACTCGGTCGCGCCGCTGCACCTTGGTCAAGTTGCTTCTCAGCGATACGCCGATGACGGGACCTGTGAGAGAACGGCGCGCGCTGGCAAAGGTGGGCACGCGCCTCGGGGGGGGGGGGGGGGAGCCAGAGAGACTGGCTTTGGCAGCGTGAAACGACCGCGCAGCAGGACGACCAAGCTTCTCTTGCATTAGTCATGTACGCCAAGAGACTAAACTCCAGAAACGGCCGCGCAGCAGGTCGACCAAGCTTCTCCTGCATCAAGTCATGTACACCTAGAGATTAAACTCCAGAAACACCCGACTGCACTGTCCGAAGTGTCTCCAACACTGGAACGTTAAAACCTGCATCTTGTTTTAAGAATCTCCTGAGCCGCTCGCGCAGAGCTTAGTGGACAGCTAGCCCCCCCCCCCCCCCTTTAACGGTTGGCAATGCGCGAGACGGCACGGTTGGCATATGCATAAGAAAAATGTAATTGTCGAGGCGTTCATATCTGGCGTTCGTGAGCGCGATTTCCAGATATAACGGTCGTCAATTGGCTCTCAATCAATGTTGTGTAAGGTACGATGACGCATTGATGACCCAAATTAATCAAACCATGACGCATTGAGGAGCATGTTTACTGAACAGATAATTGTGCTGTCTAGAGCAGTCTTTTCCACTTCAAAAGTATGCCAATAGTTAAAAGTTAGCTTGTTCCATCGTATCTCATGGTTATTTCAATATCTTCACCTGTGAGACGTACCCTTTAAGAAGAAAAGTCGGTAGAAGTAAAGCCGTAAAGGATAAGAGTTAAAAGTCGACGGAGATCGCAGTGAAAATGGAAAACATCAAGATTTAAAGTCCAAGGGGACAAAATCCGACAGTAATAGAAGCCAAACTAAAGACTTTCGCGGGATTCCGAGGTGGGAGATAGTCTGCTGACGGGCAAAGATGGCTGCAGACATAGCAGCGAAATTGTTCGCTTAAGAACCGCCGTGTGTTACCAGTAGTGCATTTTCGAACTTTTTTTCTCAAACTTACCAGTAGATATGCCCTTAGCTTACAACTGCGATACATTGTATGCTTGAAAAAAACGGAAGAGAGAACAGAATGAGCGGAGATGCATCGCATTTTATCCAAAACAGGTAATCCATAGCGTGGCTAAGCTGTCACTTTCTGCTCAGTCAGCAGACATGTGCCTGGCCACTCTAATATCTTCTGGGAACCAATTCCTGGTTCTGAAACCACGAAAAGTCAGAAATATATTTGAAATCAAACCACAGATTCATTAAGATCCATAATTCAGCGCTGAACTTTGCCGAGAGAGCCAGCAAGGACCAGAATACACCTTGACAATAGGAGAGAGGTTATGACAATGTGAGGAGGTAAGTACGAAGTTAGTTCCGGCTTAGAACATGCACATGGATTCAGCAAGGACCTAACCCAACCTGAACTACTGTCACGAACCAGTTGGTATCCACATAGCACATTTATATTATGCGCGTTGCGATTATAAATATTGCTGACAAATATGCGACTTTATCCTTAATTTCAGACAACATGCCTTAAATGGTAAATAACTGTCAAGTGATAGCCCAACCTGGTGCTTGCGAATGAGGTAATGAGAGGTAGAAAATGGGACTTGGTGTTTTCTGAGTGAACCCTCCGGAACAAAAAAATCAGAGTCTGGTGTTTGGGAGAAGCTAGTGCTTAACATGAGCGAGGACCCGGTCTTTGTGCACGAACCAGTGGAAGTTATAAACCGGGGAATGGTGTTTGTGGAAAGCTCATGAGAACAAGGAACTAGATTTTGGTGGATGGAAAAGAATTAAACGCAACCTGGGACCCATAATTCATTTTCGAAAGGACCTTGGGGGCCAAGAACCAGGGTGCGGCGTTCCCAAATCAACCAATGCGCAAGGACGCGGGAACCAAGGAAAGGCGGTGAAGATAGCTGGCCCCGCCCCGCCCCCCTCTGCCTGAAAGCTGGGAAATTCGCTTCTGCTATTGTTTCGACAAACGTATGTTGCCGAAATATCAACCCAACTATATTTCCATTCTCCTAGTTTTTTTTTCTCCGAGGAATAAGGCTATTACTACTGCGTTATCTGTGTGAATAATGTTCCTCACCAATGCGCTGAACAACTTACGTGATTATGTAAACCTGTGAAAGTCTATGCTAGCGTGCCGAGGGTCCATTCTGACTTCTTAAGGGTCCATTCTGACCATATGAGGGAAATTATGAGTCTGTAGATGGACAATTCTGGCCTGTAGAACGTCCAGCATTGACTGTGGAGGGCCCATTCCGGCCGGAACAGGCCCAATCACAATTGTAGAAGGCCCATTATTGACTATGGAGAGTCCATTCTGGTCTCTAGCGGGCCCACCCTGGTCTTATGAGGATCCATTCCGGCCTGTACGGGGCCCATTATGACCTATAGAAGATTTGGTATTGACTGCAAAGGACCCATAATTACCCGTAGACGCCCATTTTGGCCGACAGAGGGCCCACTCTGGGCTGTAAGAAGTCTATTATAACCTGTAGAGATCCCATTCCGGCCCATAGAAGGTGCATTCTGGACTGTAAAGGGCACGTTCTGACATTTAAAGAAAATATTATCGACTATAAAGGACCCATTCTGACCTGCAAAAACCCCATTCCGGGCTAACAAGGGCCCATTCAGACCCGTACAGGTCTCATTCTGACCTGTAGTTCCTAGTGGGCCCATCTTTCCTGAAGAGGGTCCATTATTGACTCTGCGAGGCCTATTTTTTCCTGTAGAGGGCCCATTTTGACCTGTATTAGGCTCATTCTGACCTAAAGAGGGCGCATTAATGACTCTGGAGGCCCATTCTGGCTTATAGAGAGCTCGATTGTAACGTTCCATTCTGGACTAAAACCGGCCCATTCTCACCTTTAGAGGGTCCATTATTGACTTAAAGGGCCCATTCTGGGCTCCAGAGGGCCCATCCTGACGTGTAGGGGCCCACCATCCAATCTTAGAGGAATCATTTTGGTGGTTCGGAGTTTAGAAATAAAGATTATATTAAGACAAATCGGAGGACGTTTATCCCAAAATTGGAAGAGCGGTTGTTGAGATCAGAGCTCTTGGTAGAATCTGTCCCCACACGTCAAGTAAATCTTGCAGCCCGCAAGGGAACAGGGTTAAGTTTCAATGTTCATGTTCTGTGAAGGATGGGAAAACGATCCAGCCTGCAATGAGGCACGGTCAAGGCCGTGTTGGCTCATAGCTAAATATGGCCGATTAGTAATCGGCGCTCGTGCGATCGAGAGCTTTCTCACCTCCAGCTCTGACCGACAGATGTCTTCGAAACACGCTGCTGGCACTTCCTGTCGGTCTCAAATCAGCATCATCCAATGACGAACCTAACAGCGAGGAGGTCAACACCATGGTTAGCTCAGTGGACGGCACGAATGCTCGCGCAGAATACCTGACGTGTTTCGCATCAGCCGCGCCATTCAACGAACGAAAAAGCGGTGAAGTCCAACAGGCTCACACTGCAAACACACTGGCCCGCTCCTACACCGCCAGCGGACATCAATCGTAACGGCGGAAACTTGACTCCTCCCTGACATTAGCCGCCGCTGAGACCCCACCGCTGGACATTCAGCTGACAACCACAGCGCCAGAGCACGATCACCGCCCACGCTCTCGACGAGCGGCGGCGGACAGCGGGCGCCGTTGGCGGCGCCGCGGGCTCACTTGAGGCCTCGAACAGCAGCGACACGTGACTAAGCGGCCGGTGGGAGCTGTTGCGAAGCCGGTCGCTCAGTCTCGGGCTGTCAATGGCCAGCGGAGGGATCGGCGGCAGGTTCAGCACACCCCTTTTGCCTGCCGGCGGCGGCAGACCGACAGGAGGGTTGGGGTCGGCAGGCGGCAGCATGGGGCCGGCCGGTAGCGGCGGCCCCTCGCCGGGCAGCGGCGGCCCGGAGCCGGCCGGCAACGGCGGCCCCTCGTCAGGCAGCGGCGGTGGAGCGACAGGAGACTCGGAGTCGGCAGGCGGCAGTCCGGAGCCCGCCGGTGGCAGCGGCTTCGGTCCCGGCGGCGGCGGTGGCTTCGGACCCGGCGGCGGCAACCGTCCCCGACTCCGCAGGGGCGGCGGCTCCGGACCCTGCGGCGGCGGCGGCGGCGGCGGCGGCTCCCGACCCGGCGGCGGCTGGCTGATGGGTCGGCGCTTTGGCGAACCGGCCGCCACGCCGCCGCGCCGCGCAAGCGCGCACAGCGTCAGCAGCAGCAGCGCACCCGGCCGCCGCATGGTGGTTCGCCGCGGCCGCGACTGTCAGCGCTGACGGGCGGCGGCCGTGCCAGGCCCGGCGGCGCTCGCCGCCCCGCCGGCCGGCAGGCACCGCCCCGGCCCGGCCGCCGGCTCCTGGAGTCGAGCGCCCGCGGCGGCCGCGCGTTGCACCCCTGGGCAGGGTCAGGTGTCAGGGCAATCGCCCGGCTGACGGTTTTTGCTACTGCCGTCGCCTAGGCCGGGGCCGGCTGCGGCGGCGACGGACGGTGGCGTGGAGGGGTGTGGCACCCTCAGCCGAGGTGCCAGCCGCAGGCAGCGCCGCTGGTCGCTCCAGCATGCCACCGGGTGCCTGTCAGTGGCCGACAGGGTCGCGCCAGACCGTGGACGCTCCAAGCCGGACCGGACCCTGCACCCCCTCCCTGCACCCCACTCCCGCGCCGCCTTGCACACGCTGGTGGCGCCCGCCCCGAAAGGTGATGTAGCTGGCCGGTCGCAAATGTCACACCAGTCAGGCTGCTGGCTGACGTGTGTCGCCAGCGGGTCCGGGAACTGCCAACGCATTTGCACCTTATCCGCCATTGAAATGCAGTGCTTGAGGACCGAGAGCTGACCTTGGATGACCTTGGATGGGGTCACTGCACATGTCACCCACGATTCATCTTACACTCCATCAGTTGAAGTGGATGACAGCACGCATTTACCCGCTGGAGCAGGTAGAGTAACGTGCGCGACAGGAACTTCTCTGGTAGGGTCCGCTTCAGACTCACGGTAAGACTCATGTGTCTTCAGCATCATTATTATACATCCGTGGGGATGTTGCCGTCAGGAAATGTAGCTCAACCTGGGACGCAACGATACAGCAAAGATTCCACTCCGCCCTGACCTCCCTAGGGTCATGGTGAAGTCCTGGTGTCGTCTTTGGAGACCCACAGGAGTAGGAATTCATGTACAACTCAGAGAGTCGAAAGATACACGAATCGCCTCTCGACAGCCAAGCGATCACGTGATCACGTGATCATTTACTTCCATGCTGAGGTTGATGCGCTTTGGCAGCTCTCAAGTGTAGCTTTTACAAAAGCCCCGCATCTGCGCCTGAAGAGAAACTCAAGCGACATTGTCAACGCCTGATGAGGGCCTATGCGACATTATCGAGCTTCAATCTGGTGAACTATGTCAGGTCGTGTCCGCCCCCTGGCGTCCGCAATGTGCAACACTGGGTGCTTGACGTGAGTATGACACAGTGATATGCAGTTGGGCTGTAGCTAAGGAAAGTGCAGGGTTTACCGGCACTTTCTAGCATGGCCATGTGAAATAGTGTCCACGAACCTTATAGCCTGTAAGCAACATGCCTTCACACCGTAGGCAACTCCTCAATACCGCAGGTAACTTCTCAATACCGTAGACAACTCCCCAATACCGCAGGCAGCTCCTTAATATAGTAAGCAACTCCCCAATTCCGTAGGCAACTTCCCAATTACGTAGGCAGCTTATCAATACCGCAGGCAGCTCCTTAATATCGTATGCAACTCCTCAATCACGTAGGCAACGCCTCAATACCTGCAGTCAGCTCCTCAAGATTTTTACGGGGAAGCTCCTTCCCTCAATCATATTCCGGTTCAGGTTCAGGTTTAGGTTCAGACTCAGGTTCAGGTTCAGGTTCTAGAAGCGTTCTGGCTGGGTCTGACCGAGCCTGATTGCTGAAGTTCAAACTTTTCCCTCGGCAGGCTGCCTCGCTCGTAGCAATGTAGCACATTGATGAGGTAGAGCCAGTCCATACGGAGAGCTACCTCAGAATGTTTATTTTAGGACAGGCGTACTCAAGCGGATACCTAAATGCAAACCTGGCTGACATACACGACCAGAGAGTTCGTCATTCACGAGGCATCAAAGCTGCGGTTTTAGAATCGGCATGTGGTTACAGCAATGCCGTAAACAAAGCCATCGTAATTCAGCACCATCGATGTTGTACTTCAAGGCGCCAGCTAGTGCCGACAGAGCACGCAGGGTGCTTACGTTCAAGTTCAGGGGCCTGAGTCCATTCAAATATTAAGATAGTTCCACCAATGACGGTATTAGGTGGCCGCTCCCCTCAAGATTAAGTGGCCGCTCCCCTTGCTCTTTTCAACTTTTGAGCTCGCGTGAGATGTTCCTTGTAATTATCGCATGCATCCCCGCCTAACGTGATGTGCGTTGTCCAGTGTCAGGTTATAAAGTCACATCCAGCCCTTTATATTGCGCCAACGTGCTTCCATCACCCAACACGGCCCTTCAGTGTAATATTATCCCTTCCCTTTTGGAAATTGGCAGTTATTTGGACGCTGAAGCACGCAGTAACCAGCTTCGAGAACGTTTGGAATAGGAAAAACCATGAGATCACGGGGCGGGCCCCTGATCTGTTCTCAAGCTACCCGCAGTACGGGAGTCCGAGAGTCCAGTGACGTTACCCGCAAGCTGATTTGGTGGCGATACAAACAGGGGTCTTACGCTGCCCAATTTCACAAATGTGTATTCAAACGACGAGCTATTCAGCGGCATCACTGCCGCCTCGGCCGCGTGGCGGCATTATCGGCCAGTGGCGTGTACCGAGGCATGGGGCGGTACTTCACGTAGGGAGCCGTCAGCCAACACACGGAGGGGGAACCGAACGTGGATGTTGTGACCATCTCACTGTGACGCTCGCTATGGCTGTGGTGTGGTACAGCTGCTCATATCTCAAAACAGCTTGTGTTCCTACACTGGCATAATCGACGATGATGAGGAATCAATAAATGTTGTGGAATTTTTGCAATGTTTTTCTGGGATGGCGGCGGGAAACATTGCGACATTCCGCGAGCGAAGGGCTGCTGGCAACAGCAACAACCCTACTTATAACAAGCCACTGAAATTATTCTCGTCGCCTTTCCGGAGCGTGCTTTACTCGTCTTCAACTGAACGAGCGCTGCTTATCCATTTATCACCTTCTCTGCCTCACGCCTGAATCGCGGACGTTTGAGGCTCACGGCGTGAACCGTAACTCCGCCACAAATAACACCGAGGAACACACACCTTGTTCATTGCACATTTGCACATATTCTGCTAGTTCTCGTTTTCGGAGACGCGCTGGAGATATCGCCGATGCGAACACGTCAAGCGCGTACATTCCCAGACTGCCACCGCGCTTGCCGTGTTCAGCTCGGGACGAGACCGCGCGACCGCGTGACGTCACCGCGAGCGAACGTGCTCGGCTCTGCGTCACCTCCCGTCCTCCTGGCAGCCGTGCATCTGCAGGTGGTACGACCGCAGCAGAGTGAACGGAGCGAACGGGTCTGCGAAGAGACGGCCCCGGTCAGGCTCCACTTCTTGTTGGGTGGGTCTGCATGCTGAACACACACGCTCTGCTCGATACATAACGGTCAACGGGTATGACATATGAATGAGGGGTGGCATTGTTATAATTGTAGCGGTATAGCTTCGCAAGCTTATTAGTTGTCGGGGTTCCGAGCTGGGTTTGTTGATGTTTGTGTAAGGGTGCCCTCTCAGCTGCACCAACTTTGGTGGGCCAGAATTGTTTGGCCGCTTTGCAACCTGGCGATATCGTTCGCCATACCTGCAGTTTTACATTAGTTTCTAGTCGTATTAGTTTCTAAGTTGCTTGTTGGGTTGTTTTTATTCCTTGGATTTCGCGCAAGCATATGGCTAGTGCCGAGGGGGCTCCGCTAAGCTGAGGACGTTGTGCCGCAATCTGGGGGCTCAAGCTAGCCACCGAATACGATCCTACATCCCTGATTACTGGAGACCGTGACTGTGAGTCGACGCAGGCACCTTTACGGAGTGTGGAAATTCTCTGTCCATGCTGTCACGTTTCAAAGCCTTTAATTTGCGCAGTTTGCGTACTTCGGGTGCGGAGATAAAGCAGAAACAGCATCGGGCATATCAGATAAACATACCAAAGCATAAATAACAACTGCAGCCGCACCGTTAGGCATCAGCAGAGTCATAGCAGCTCACAACGAACACCATTTCAAATAGCAGTCGTATTGCATGCCCGGAGTTATCCAAAGCAAACCTCAGTTGCGCATAAGACCGCGAGGTTAGGCATTTCTTCACAGGTCGGACAGCTGCTGTCTTCCTCTTCCCTCCCCCCCCCCCCCCCCACACACACACTATCATTTGACCTCCCACACTCACCGATACAGAGCAGGGGCTGCGGGACGGCAGGCAGGGTGTACCGATAGTTCCACAGATCACCGCTTGGAGGCGCTACCGGACGCGTCTTTTTCGAACCACGCTGGCTCACCCTGCTGTCGATTGAACTCTCCGAACTGGGTGAGTGAGCCCTGCGAAGTGAGGCACATGAAGTTAAGACAAGTAACGTGATATTTCCTCGCTGTATACCTGATTATGGCTTAGCCATAACCCACCTACCCATTACCCGTTACCCACCGCATCAGCACCATGAAGACCAACACACGGCTGTATCGGGCTATGCTGTCGTGATTTACGTGCGCGCTGTTTTACTTAAATTGCAGTCCGGCCTGAATACCTCTTGATGGAAAGTGGCAGTGTTTCCGGCATGCGTGCGTTTCGGTCTCTTGATGGAAAGTGGCAGTGTTGCCGGCATGCGTGCCTCTTCGGTGCACGTTCAGTATACGTCCTCGGTGATCAACTGGCATACGACATTTCCTCAAGTCGGGTCAAGACTGTGATCGTTGAAATAGCCGAAGAGGAAGACGGGGTTTGCATTGGTGTAACGAGGTGGGCGAGTCGACGTGCAAGTTCTACATCATCACGGAGGTAAGAATATGGGACGTGCAACAAGAGTGCGGCTATGTAGGCACACCAAACCGATCACGGCCTGCACAGGTGTGTTTAAAGAGAGGTACATGCGTACGAAACCGTTTTTAAAGTGACCTACCCCACCTCGGCGCTCCCATTTAGCTTCAGTCCGGCATTATTGTGGGCAATTTGACAGGCTGAAAGTATATGGATCAGTCGGAAGAAAGCAGGTCTCTAGCACCGCTATAGACATTTTCTCATGAAAGGTCAGTTCGCACTGCGAAGAAACTCAGTCCATTAGGTCATTCGCCAGTCACAGCACCACAGCAATACAAGGCTATTGAAAGACGCTTGAGGGGCGGTCTTCACCAGCAGCACGCGGTGGTGACTGCTAACCATGCGAGGACGACCGCTGAGCGTCTGCCCGTTAGGGGCGTCCTGTATCGGGAGTCCCGGGAGGCAGTATGGAGGCCACCCTGGGGCTGAGAACACGGGCAATCCCGGCCGTGTTGACAGGAGCCATACCGGTGCGGGCCGGGTCGGAACGGGCCCCGCCGCCGGACTGCAGGGCCGGGTGGGCCGTCCTGGGACTGAGAACACGGCCGGGTGCAACCCCGGCCGTGACAGAAGCCATACCGGTGCGGACCGGGCCGGGCCCCACTGCCGGACTGCAGGGCCGGGACGGGCCGCACTGTCGGACTGCGGGGCCGGGCTGGGGGCCGTCCTGGGGACGGGATGCAGTCACAGGACTGTGTGACCGATCGGTCCGAGACCGATGGGAGGCGACCGTCTCTGGACGGCGGGGGGGGGGGGGCAGCCGGAGGACCGCGTAGTTGGTCCACACACGGGCTGCCGACAGGCTGGCGCGGGAGCCGGGGCACGCTGCTGCAGTGTTTCTCTGCGAGGAGGCAGATGAGCGAGGTCGAAACGGCGGCAGCATCCAGAGGAGCGAGCTTTGGTGTGAGGTCTATTTGAGTGCTGGAAGATGCTGTTTTGACTTTGGCGGTCTGAGAGCAAACCTTCGGGTCGTCAGCCTCAGCTGTGGACGCCGGCACCATGTGTCCGGTGTCAGGGAAGGCGACTCCGGTCTTGATACTGACCGTACATATCTCACGTTCACTTTGCCACACTGGGCACTGGGAAGAGGACGATGATATCTGTACGTTTGTTGCTGATCCAGGCGGTGGGTGCAATGGACGCGAAGGCCTCGCGGGATGCCCGCCACGGTTGACACTCTCGAGAGCAGGTTTCGACAATCATGCCCGACTCGCTGACAACGGGAGGAGCGCAGAAGGTTCGGAGGGAGCACCTGGATCTAGTCATGCTGTATACAATGGTGATAGAGATAGGAGGACAGATGTGAGCAGACCTAGCCACATAGAGCTGAGTGCCGTGCCGCCGGCCGTCCTTAAAGGTGGTCCGTCAGCCAACGAGACAACCCACTGGAGGGCATGCAGCACCTTTGTTTGGACGTGGATTCGACTTTTCTGGCGTACACGAGGAGTTGGCACGTGTTTCTGGTGCGGCGGCTCTGCTGGGGGCTTTCTGACCACACAACGTAGTGGTGTGTAGAAATGCAGTGGGTCGGGCATGCTTTTTGTTTTTTTATTGTTAGAAAGCCATTTGTTTGGTGGTTCAATCCTCGCAGCTGGCATCTGGTTGAAGGGGATGACGGTCAGAGGAGGGGTCAAAGGTACGAGACAAACGGGTCCAGTGCCGCTACGGCTGGGCAGTGGCCTGCCACCAGGAGCGCCACTCGTAAGTGATCCGCTGCTGGGGTCGGAAGGCCCGGACACGGAGGCCTGGGGCGAGCAGACATGCGTGGCGTCGGACACAAGCGTGTCAGCCGTCAGCTGGCAGGAGGCGTCAGGCAAACAATGACCAGAGGTATGGAGAGAGCCCGGACCCTCTGTTGGGTTCATGGCGCTCAGACCCTGCGGTCGTGGCGCAGATGTAAACGCCGCGCCAGATGAAGCAGCCAGAGGCATGGAGAGAACCGGACCCTCTGTCAGGTTCATGGCGCTCAGGCCCTGCGGTCGTGGCGCAGATGTAGACACCGCGCCAGATGAAGCAGTCAGAGGCATGGAGAGAACCGGACCCTCTGTTGGGTTCATGGCGCTCAGGCCCTGCGGTCGTGGCGCAGATGTAGACACCGCGCCAGGGAAAAGCAGCCAGAGGCATGGAGAGAACCGGACCCTCTGTCAGGTTCATGGCGCTCAGACTCTGCGGTCGTGGCGCAAATGTAGACGCCGCGCCAGGAGGAGCAGCCGGAGGCGGCGAGCGACATCGAACCAGCAAGGGTCAGCTCAGTGGAAAGAAACGAGATCAGAGCGGCTCGAAGTCGAGGAGCCAGCAAGCTCCGACGGGGTGCGGGGCAGAGGGCGGCACATTTCCTCGATGTCACCGGCCAGACCCAGACCAACGTCATATGTGGCTGATGACGGGCGGAGGAAATCGAGAGTCGGTTCAAATGAAAATTTGATAAGGTCATGCACGTAACCAGGATATTTTCATTTGTGTAAAAACTTCGCAATGGAACGCGAGAGTCCAAATTCGGCAAATATAGGTCATGACACTTCAAAACGTCGAATTCCCCTATGGCAACCAGCCACAGCGGGACGGTATCGCCGGTCAGGTCATGGTCTTCCCGGCGCCCGATCGCCGAAGTGGTCGGCAAGATTGCGTCGCGATGACGGTTCACGGGGTAAGCCAAGACCTCGACACCTGCAAGCAATCCGACGCGGCGACACTCGGCGGGCGCTGGGTGTGGCCAAACAGCCCCAGACCACGTGCACCGGGCGACCTTCTCACCAGGGCACCCCGGGTCGCGCCGTTTTTACCAACTCAGCTGGCGCGGCGCGCGCCGCCGTCGAGTGTTGGCGCGAGCTGCGGGGGAGTGCGGGGAGGGGCGGGAAGTGCCGGCGGCTACTATCGCGCGGCGGCGGATCTGCACCTATTCATGCCCGGCTGACGCGGAGCCGCGCTGTTTTTGTCGCGCCGTTTATCAGATAGAATTGTCGGACTGCGGCCGACCCCCAACAGTGCCGCCTTTGTTCTCGCTGTGTCAACAGTGCAGCCCATATTGAAACACTGATTGTCAAGAGAGCTTAATTCATTTGTTGAGTTCGACTGGAGTGGGCCGGCCGCTATCAGGCGGCTCTGGTGAACGTGCGAACATTACTGTCACGTCGCCGCACGATAGGCGGCGCGTCGGTAAACAGCGCGGCCATCGCGGCGCACGCGGCCGCTAAGTGCCGGCTGCCGCCCAAGATACGCTGCCGGTGCCGCGCCTTGACGCACTCGAGCCTGTTTGTCGGTCGTTAGCGGGCGACGATTTCGGAGGGCGGAAGCCAGGTGAAGTTTTTGCTGATTCTTTCCTCCGATCGCTCGGGAGCTCTAGATCTGGCCGGTTGGTACGGCAATGATCAGGAGACTCGTTGGCGTCCGTAAGCAACGGAGGACAGCAGCGAACAGGCGCAGAAATACACGTCAGTGTGAGCAATCTCACCCTTCTCCAATCTAATCCCCACGTTTGCACTGTGGCAGCGCGCGATACATGAATCACATGGTTCCAAGATGGCGGCGTGGGCTGATTACTCCGCTCCTGTTTGCCATTGGTGGCGGCGGTCACCAGTCCCATCCCCCCGCGCCAACCCCACCCAGCTTGTCAGGCGTGAAGTGACGCGCCGATTTGATGTCAGGCGTGAAGTGACTCTCTGATGTGATGTGTGAGGAAACGTGATGACGGCACCGCGAGAGGACGCTAATTGGGTGGATGCGGAACACTCAAGTACGCTTTAAAACCGTCTGCTTCCCTAAACTTAACCTTAACTTAACTTTCCACTTAACCGTCCCGAAAGTACCTGCGAGATTTCAAACCGAAAAGATATTTGAATAAATTATGGTACAATCACGTAATTAATTCAGCTGAACTCAAATATTATCTCTCAACCCAAGCATTGTTGCCCGCAAAATAGCAACGCCAATTTCAATCCACAACACAAACTCATAGCACTGACATTTATACTTACCTTTTTGTGGCAGGGATGTCGCGAAAACCCTTCGCGAATGGATTGCTGGCTATTTTCAGACGAGTGATCTGGAACAAGGCCAACACGACCGTGAGTCGCCCGAGCCCCTCACGACATCGAGTCGGTTCTCACACGCACCACGACGGACCCAGGTGAGGGGCCGAGCACACCCTGTCCTCGTCCCGTCCCAGCGCGTCACTGGCATACGCAGAGCAGCTCTGGGCCACCTCCCGCCGACAGTCACGCGCGGTGAGAAGCGCGGTGCAGCAAATTCCCGGGCGAAGATGGCTGCCGACAACGCGGAGGCCTGGTCCGAAGGGCCACGCATCGCAATGAGCGATCAAAAAACATGAGCTGTCGTGACAGCTTGGTAAACACAACTCCAGATGACCTGGGCAAGCTCGAACCGATGCCACGGCTCGAATCTCAGCATTCAGAGCAGGAGGTTTGCACACATTGCGAACTCGAACACATGTGGGTCACAGTTCTGTAATATTTTTTGATACGCTGTGTATTGAATGCATGCAAGGGCGGATGCAAAACGCTGCTTTGAGGGTGTAATGCCGGCTTAGGGGCCAAATTCCAAACAGTTGTCTGGATCTTCAAAAAGTCATTAAATTTCGTTTTGTTTTACCTCGAAAAGCATTTTAAGACAAATTTTCCGTACCGAAACTGCTTAAATATTCTTCGAAGTCCAAAAATGTGTCCCCCAAAAGTGATCAAAAGTTTTCCCCCAAAAGTGATCATCTTGGGGATGGCCGAGTTTTGCACCTTCCCCTTTCCCCTTATATCCCCTTTGAATTGTGTATACACGAACAAGTTTTCCAAATCAAAGTTCCGTTGAAGAGTGGAATGTAAGCTATGATTATCGGGTTCTGGTGACGTTTTGTCTCACATATAATTTCAGTGCGCTGACTACAGTCGATTGTCAGTAAGCATACCTCCTGGTTCTGATACGCAGTGACGGTGATGAACTCCGTCTCCGGGAATGAGAAGGTCAGTGACCTTTTCGGGTCGATCTGCTGATCAGCTGGAGTTAACAGGTCACTGGTCCGCTGAATGTGCACACGTGGAAGGTACTTGTGCATCGAGTGCAATGATATCTGGAAAGATTCCGCAGTGAAATCTTCCAAGCTCTACACCGTGTTGGTCATGTTTACCTGCCCAAGCAGGATCCAACGCCACACCCATAGTTTCCCAGACAAAATAACAAGATGCGCGGTCAACGTGTGCAAGTAAGTGCAAGTGACGAGAAAATTTTTCGGATAATCATTCAAACTGTCGTAATGCATAGTAACCCACACTTAGTAAACACCCTAACACCTAATGTTTCTATATCCTTGGCAACACCTAGTCTCCAACAATTGGTGACACTAAAATCGACGAGACTCGAGACTTGTAAGCACAACGCGCCACCATGCTCGCTCGCCCAGCGCGATTCGTAAGCTTCAGGTGTGCTAGCAATCAGCAAGTAGCAGAACGTGCGAAAAAATTGGCGATTTAACCGTAAATGCAAATTTGCGCTTAAATCGCTCTTAAAATGCATTGGCTTATTCTATGTCGTCCAAGTCATGCTAAAAATGAAAGCAAAATGTTGCTTCATCCTGAACATCTACGTTCCCATGTTCCCGCTATCTGCTAATTGTTTCTGAGCTGCTCCACAGACCGCAAGCGCTATCTTTGGTCTTTAGAAATAGCCGAACCTTTGATTACCATGCAAAATCTGCACTCCCTTTGAGAACAAGCGGCAGTCGGGTAAACACAGCAATGCCGTCTTTTAACCAAATTGGCGGCCGGTCGGGCAAGACGTCGCACATGTTACGTCACCTGCGACGGTCCACATGAGTGCCTCCGGTTGGTCAGCTTCAGCTTGTCGAAGGCGACAATGCCCTGCGAGGTCCAGAGACGGCCCGAGGCCGGCGAGTCCGGATGGATGTAGCGGTTGCGACAGCTAAAGGTGTCGCCGGGGCCAGCCACGGCCCACTCGGAGCTGCGGAGACAGAGACGGTCTGCAGAGAGACGTTTCCAGCATGAGACAATACTTGTTCGTAGATTGACGTCCAGATTTGTCTGCCAATTCCCAGGTGACAGCCACTGTCCAACCGCTCCCTAGCGCTCGACACACGCCGCTCCGCCGCCCCTGTGGTAGCCGCTCCGCCGCCCACTTGTGGTACACGCTCCGCCACCCACCTGTGGTACACGCTCCACCGCTTACCTTACCTGCGGTGCACACTCCACCGCCCCCTGTGGCACACGCTCCGCCGCCCACCCGTGGCACACACTCCACCGCCCACCTGTGGCACACGCTCCACCGTGACCTGTGGTACACGTTCCACCGCCCACCTGTGGTACACGCTCCACCGCGACCTGTGGTACACGTTCCGCCACCCACCTGTGGTACACTCTCCACCGCCCACCTGTGGTACACACTCCACCGCCCACCTGTGGTACACGCTCCGCCGCTTACCTGTGGTACACATAGCGGTAGCGCATGTCGTCGACGGGCACGATGTCCATGTACACGATGTACGAGTCGGACGGCTGCAGTCCGTGCAGGCGCACCTTCACCGTCGGGAACATGCGCCTGAAGCGTCACGCCAGCGTCACGGGGGGCGTCACGCGCCGGCTCAGAGCCCTCGGCCTCCGGTGCGGGGACCGCTACGTCGACGGCCGTTCGGCCCGCGCCACCCCGGCCCCGACACTAAAAACGTAATTGAGCCTCCCACCACCGCGCGCCCCCGATCAATGAGTTATGCTCATTGAGGCAGACGTATTGGCGGGGCGGGCGCGAAGCAGGCGGGGGGGGGGGGAGGCCCCAGACGATGGGCGCCGGCGGGGGGCACCGCGAGAGCTGGGCCGGGCCGCTCTCCCGTGGCCGGTGCCCGAGCCGGCGACCACCACTCGCAGGCCATGTCGAGGCGCGAGATGGGTTCGGGCTTGTCCTCTGACGAGGAGGGCACGCTCCATTTCTCTTCTTAGTTGCGCTAAGCACCGGGTCTCAGGGTACAGTCAGGTAATGGTATGCTCTTAATGGACACCACGCACAGAGGATGCATAATAATTTACGACGCATATTGCTGCAACCTACGTTAAGGATCTGGTTTATTGATGTTACTGATCCTGGACAGTTACTGATCTCCATTTTGCCTGAAGGTAGTGCGTAAACGACGTTATCAAGCAAAACTTGGTTATGTTCTCAACACTCGACACTGCATTCTGCTAGGAGATTTGTTTTATATCGCTATGATTTTGCAAAGCATTGTCCTTCAATCGAGTCTTGTGAGAGGCTTGTACCATATGGTGTACTTGCATTACAGGTGACCTTTTAGTCTATTACGTTTCAGTCCGAGACTAAGCGCAAAAATGAGAGTATTTCAGGTGCTCGGGATTCATTGGGTTTACCATGATGTTTGTAGGGACCGTACTGTTGTCCGTTTCAATAAAAATAAATTCAGAAACCCCCTTTTAAATAGGCCTAACCTCTAAAAAACAAACCGATTTTACCGATTGATATGCAATCGATAACCGAATTTGAGGCCGTACCTGGACTTTTAAAGCTGGTGGGTAAACGCACAGAGGGTATGATAAGTAAAGCGGGTGGGTAACCGAATGAGTAAAGCCTTATGCAGCCGGTAGTGGGTTGTGTTTGGTTGTATGGGTGTAGAAAGCGGATACGGGCGCGAAAGTGACACCTGCAAAGGCCGCTCTTTTAAAGAAGCCAGTGATGGGCGCAACATGACCAGTGCAGTCGACGCGCCCGAAAACACCAATAAACAACAACGACAAAAAAGTAGCCAGTGAAAGCCGCTGGTAGTAGATATTGTCCTAAGGATAGGGATGTTTCTTTACCAACGACCCTGTGCGGTACCCGTGTGGAAATTCCGCATTGTTCACAGCACGTGCGAGTACAGCATTTCATGATAAAAAGGCGACGGCTGAGTGGTTGGCCAACCTGCCGGCATACGTCCTCGACAGAGCGTGCCGCCGAACTGGCGAGCGAGTCAACCTAACGGCATACGTCCTCGACAGAGCGTGCTGCCGAGCTGGCGAGCGAGCCAGCCCGACGGCACACGCCCTCGACAGAGCGTGCCGTCGAGCTGGCGAGCGAGTCAGTCCGACGGCACACGCCCTCGACAGAGCGTGCTGCCGGGCTGGCGAGCGAGTCAGCCCGACGGCACACGCCCTCGACAGAGCGAGCCGCCGAGCTGGCGAGCGAGTCACCCGTCACCAGCTTTGGCTGCGAGAGACTGGACGGCTAGACCCTTAGCAATACGTCGTCTCGACATGTGTGCCACTACGATACATGAGAGCACATTACTCCGCTTTTGAAGCAGCTTAGGCTTTCATATTGACAAGCAATTGGTCAGCTTTTGACTTTAACAGGCGACTCAGCAAATAATGGCAGTGCGTTGTTTGTTTTTTTCCAGATATTTCTCTGCTCGTTCCCATGTATCAAATCGCCATTTTTGCTTTTTTATCACCCTGCTTTTTTGTTGATATGTGCACGAAGGACCAAAATTGCAATATGTGCGCACACAATCCACGTGAAACTGATGACAGAATGCGAACTGTTACACTGTACACTCTCAGCCCACAAGCTCCCAAGCAGTTTTGTTTGGATTATCTGTATGTGCAAAGCGATCACCAAAAAAGTTTACTGGGAAATCCATCTACAGTTCAACGCTGTCAACAACCGTGCATCGCTGGTAAAACTCAACTGACCGGGAGTGAGCGTGAAAGGCGTTATCTAAGGAGATGATGTGGAGTTACATCAGAGTGGCAATCATCCAAGCGATTTCGTCACACCCTGAAGAAAGATAGGGAGTTATTTCTGGTTTCAGATCACTAGAAATTGTTCGTTAGTCGCGCGTTCGGCCAATTTTAGGTGTTTTTGTTCATTTTTCGAGTAGGATTGCAAAAGAAGCAAAGTGTCGGAATTAGACGGATTTCAAACGGAATTTGCCGTCAATTTCTTCTCTTTTTTGCCCAACTTGGGGTACACTCTAGACCCGATTCACATTTATAATTAACGTGCACAACTCAATAGGAAACGATGAAGGAAGCAAAACGCTCCAAAACTAGTTCAAAAAGGCCACTTCAGACGCACTAGCATGGATATCTCCACAACATTTCTGACTACCGGTTTTCTGTCCCTATCATCGCTATCATCCCTATCCCTATCCCTATCTATCCCTATCAATCTAAGTCATGAACATAAACACGTAGGCAAAATGACAAAGAGAGGAGAAAAGCGAAGAAGTTAAGGTTAGAGTGGGAAACATATAGAAAACGCCAGGATAACAAGAAACGGATTTTGGCTTGGCTAAAAAAGACGCATTTGGGGTGTGTCAGACATCGTCGCCACCGCGTCCAACAACTGCAGCTAGGCGAGGATAACAGGCAATCATTAAAGAAGCGGAACAGAGGATGAGTGATGGATGCTCCTGCTTGAACGGTCACAGCGAACAGCAGTCGAACTGGCGCTGTTAACTGGCGGCGGTCATAGATACGAACGGACCCAAGGGCAACAGGTGTTCATCATAAAGATCTCGGAGAGGAACACAGCACACTTCACTGCGCGCCATCTGTGTGACACGGGCGTACTTGTCTCGGGGCCCTGATTGGAGCGCGGGTTTTCCACGCGACGGTCGCGGAGGTGGCGTGGATCCTATGGCTCCAAGGACCAAGGGCCCAGCATTGCTTGCATAGTATGAGACTTGCTTATAATACTGCCTGCACTGTACACTCACACGTTAATGTGAGCCGCGTAAGGTGGTCTACGTCGCCCTTAACGGTCAGACGGTAAGAATATAACGACCCTTCTAAAATACTGAATTAGTCAGTTTCAAGTGTCTGTGTTTACAAATGAACCTCTGATAACGAATGAGCGTTCATGCTTGAAGAAAACGCTTGCAGACTCCACGAGGGTAGTCGTCAGCATGACAGTGTGTTTCTGAACCATTCTTGGACGGTCTCCTGGTGGTCAAAGAGGTTCCTCCGCATAGCCCGTTGGGCCGTAGAGACATCACCCCAACCTGCAGGTGCTCATAGAGTAGTCAGAACCACTCGCTCCAGGCACTCTCTTCTCAGAAAGTGATCCAAAACCAACGGCGTTTCCAGGAGTTGGAATCTTGTTCAATGTAGGTTTGACATTCATCCGGAAAAGGGCCTCTGAATTAGCAGTGGGGGGGGGGGTGGGGGTGGGGGGCGGGAAGCGCTCCCTCTCTCCCAACTTTGAGGTAATTAACAGAAAGTATAGGGGTTGAAATGATAAATTAAAGGTAAAATTCATATTTCCCGAATATTTTGAAAGTTGGTCCGCGGATGCCTAGAATTACACCGGCCAACACAAGCTCCAAAATGGCCGTAAAGCGATGGGTCGGCTTTCTTTTCACCCGGTTTGGAAAGGAAGCCCTCAGTCTAGAAAATTGACATAAAACTCGATAAAATTATTTCACGCCGGCGATAAGACTCAGTCATCTATCACAAAGTCATTTAAGAATGCCGAGAAGCCTCCAGAACACCGCAAATGGGCTGTGCCCTGGAAAGGGCTATTTCTGAGTAGTACTGCACCCAAAGATGCCCCAAACGAAATGCTACGTACAAATTGATGAGATAGTCCCCTTGAACACCATTATATTTCTAATGCGGCACTGGGCATTTGTGAGCGGTTGGAACACTTAAGTACACTACTACTGTTCTTTGGATTTTCCAAATATGCCAACGAAAATTGCAGAAAATTATCCGAAAACGCAGGCCTTGAATGTGTGCTTGAGGAGATCGGCATCGCTTTATGTGCGTAGGCGATCGCATTGCCACCGAGGACACTGATCTCCCTGCGAGAACCAAGATCGCTGGTTGGGTTCCCTCCCCCCCCCCCCCTCCCCCTCCTCCTTGCAATAGCCTTTGTACGCCACTTGACCGGGACTGGACTGGAATAGCCTTTGACGCCACTGGACCTGGTAAGCGAGAACCAACACCGCTGGTTGGGTTCCCCCCCCCCCCCCTCCCACCACCACTTCCTTACAATAGCCTTTCTACGCCACTTGGCCGGGACTGGACTGGAATAGCCTTTGACGCCACTGGACCCGTAAGCGAGAACCAAGACCGCTGGTTGGGTTCTCCCCACCCCCTTGCGATAGCCTTTGACGTCACTGGACCAGGACTTACACCTACCAGAGGAGCCGAGTTCTTCGAAGAAGCTAAGTTAAGCAGTGAACCGCAATGGAATAGATTATTGTGTTTAACATCGCCTGCAGAGCTACCAAGTCGCATCCTTTCGCAGGGATTTCATAAGTTCTACGCTGTTGCAAAAGGCAGAGCACTCAGTCAAACTAAAGCAAGACAGCCGATCGCCAGCCACTCACCTGCCCATCTTGGTAATGATCATCTCCGTGTCGTGCTCGTGGAACTCGAGCCACAGGTCCCGGGAGCAGAGCTCGGCCGTGATGGGGAGCTCTGACAGGCGCAGGTCCTTCCGCCCCTCGCCTGCGCCTGACCCCGGGCCAGGACAGGCGGAGGGGCTGCTCGCCTGCCGCGCCTGTCCGCGGCCTGTGCAGGCGGGGGCAGTCAGCGTCGGCCTCCTGGCCCGGCGCGGCGCGGTCCGGGGCCTCCCCAACGTCGGTTCCGACTCTGTCCGACGATGTCCGGCTCCCCCGACGGTCCCGCTCCTCTCGCGTTTGCTGCTCGGGGGACGGCGGCAGTTCCGCCTGACGAGCCATAGCATCGGTCGCCCCGCGGCGCCGTTCGTTGCGCACATTACGCCCGTGTTCCGCGTGGTGGCCGAGGGCGGCCTCCGCTGAGCGTCCGCCCCGTCCCGGCTCGGTCTTCGGCACGGTCAGGCACGCGGCCCTGTCGCTCCCAGACTGAGACGCGTAGGCCCCAGGCTCGTCCGTCGGCAGAGCGGCGGCCTCGCGTCTCTCGGTCACACTCCACGGGCTGGGTGTCGGCTCGGGGGTAACGGTGGGTGACCTCCCCCGGCGGCCATCACAGGTAACGCCCCGGCTGGACCCAGTCGGGCTGCCAGCCGCGTCGGCGGGCCCGGACGACCCACTGTCTCCAGGGCTGCGGTCAGATGACCTGCTGTACACGGGGCTGAGGTCAGCTGAACTGGTGACCTGGTGACCTTGGGAGAGCGCCGTATGAGCCGTCGCTGCCGGCGGTGTTGTGACCTGCATCCTTTGTGGCGGAGCGCCGCTGCCCTGTACTGGGCTCCACAGCGGACCAGCGACCTGGTCCTTGACCTGAACCACATCTCCGGCGGCGAGGCGCCCCTCGCCGGCAGGGCTGCAGGTCACCGGCCCGCCGCAGGGTCCACCGCAGGTCGGCGAGGCAGCTGGACGCCGTGTGGCGGGGTCCTGGACCCGGCTGCTCTGACCGGCGTTCCCAACGGGACTGCCTGCTTTCCGGGCGTCAGCCGCTCCGAAGTCATCTGAAACTTAACGAAGAGGGTAACGAATGGAACGCTAAGCACTTGCACGACTTGAAACGTGGAGCTGGCTGGCACTTTACGTCAAGAATAGCATCCGGGATACACTTGAGCAAATTTGAGCCGGAATATTTTGCGTGCATATCTTCCACATGCAGGGCGCAAAATACTAACGAACGTGATGAAATAATATGTGTGTTTGATGAAAATAAGTATTCATCCGTTGTGGGGAAAAATTGGTGATAGCCATCTAGTTTCACCAGGCACATGGGGCCAATAGTCATATCTCCATAACAACACGCGGTGGTGGCAATCGTGACGTAAAGCTGGGTGAACACGGTTGGAGTCAATGTCCTCGCCCCCTCCCCTTCCCCCACTCGACCAGCTGGTTATGGGATGACAAATATAGGGACTCCTGTGGCATGCTTCGTACCCCATGATGTATTTTGACCGCTTGCTCTCCTGGCCTAAGCTAGGGTTTCCCCCGTCCACTCTTTCCATGTGCCCTTCACTTGTTGGTCGCTACCTCGCGTTCTCTGGCTCGCCCTGCTTCTCCTCATTCAGTGTCGCTTCGCCCGGTGCGCGTCCCGCTCCTCTGCCCCGCCCTGCGCCCCACCCGCCCCTCTCCCTGTCACTCCGTGCGTCGTGTGGCTCTGCCTACCGCGCCCGCTTCTGGAAGACGTACATGTTTGAAGCTTTTTAAGAAATTGGTGATCATGGGCTTTTTCTGAACAATTTACATCACTAACTCACCCATGTACTCTAGGCATTCTCAGCTGGAGGCTTCCCCGCTCTATAAAACGCTAGAAAATGCACCATTGCTGGACAATGCATCACGTATTAAACGTTAGGCCTGCTTACGTTGGACATAATGTATTTAGTTGGCGTTCATTTCAACAATGGCATCAAGTGTGTTCGAGTTCGTTCACCGACCCAGTGCCCGCCTCGGCACCCTAGTTCGCACCATTCAAAGGATTATGACATCCTTAAAGCTTGCTTCAGGAAGCTTCTCTGCCCGTGGTTTTTGTTCGGAATTCAGCACGACACCTGGAACGTCAGAACGCATTTGCCAGCTTTCCGAATTTCTTTCTAGCATTTCCACTAAAATAACTGAGGGGCTACAGCAGCAATTTTTGACTATTCCATATCAGTCTTCCATAAATCAAACTAAGCAATATGTTACCAATCCGAAAGTATGTAGAGGGTGGGGGGGGGGGACAAGAGCAGCCTCAAAGAACACAAGGTGACACCTCTCCGTCTGAAGTTCTCGGAGTGCTTCAACTACCTCTTGTTCAGATAACTTTTGCTGGTCTGGCCATGTTCAGACCTATGGCCGATTCAGCGAACGATAAAGATCACCTCGCGGGGCTTTGCGGGTCTTCTAGATCATGAACTGCAGCCGTGACCATGTAACGGTCTCCGGGTTTTCGGCAGTATCAGAGCTCTTAAACCGTAGTATAGTATCGTAGTACCATAGCATGAACTATAGTACATAAAGCACAGTATCCTGACCGCTCCTGAGCACCTTTCGGCCGCTTCGGGACAGGCAGGTAACTATACCTACCCCTGATCAGATTGGGTGTGAGACCACTTTACGTTTAGAGGCGCGTTGTCCATGCCCCTGAACTTCCAGAAGATACCGCTACTCGTCAGAAACTTTCCTGGTTCTTACGAGCCGTAGGTTGTTTGAGACACCGTGCCATCTTGTGGTCCTGACCGACTGTGCGGTATGTATCGGGTTTATTTTCGCAGACGTCTATCGAATTTTCCGGATGATTTGACCGTCTCCGGACCAGTTAGCTGTCTCCGGAACAGTTAACCGTCTCCGCAACAGTTAGGCGTCTCCGGACCAGTTAGCCGTCTCCGGGCCAGTTAGCCGTCTCCGGAGCAGTTAGCCGTCTTCGGAGCAGTTAGCCGTCTCCGGAACAGTTAGCCCTTTCCGGAGCAGTAAGCCGTCTCCGGACCAGTTAGCTGTCTCTAGACCAGTTAGCCATCTCCGGAACAGTTAGCCGCCTCGGGATTATTTAGCCGCCCTCGGAACAGTCGGAACAGAACGTCCCGACATCCGTGGGATGCCTGCACTGACTTCCGAACGCATCAGGGAGTCTGTTTTGTGGCTGTCACACTGGTTCCGCCACTTTCGTTTATATATGTTCGAGTTCTAATCCACTTTGATTAATTCTGGTTTGAGGGAACATGTCTAGAGGGAGGCTTGATTGAAGGAACGATGGATGCTGAATCGCTGCACTTGGCAGATTTCGAGAAAATATCTAAGACGTCTCGCGGCCTTCTCCAGTAACCCTTGAAATTATCGGTGAGCACTTGAACTGATCAGGTGTCCCTAAAACTGATATGGGTGCGTGCTGTTTTCTTGCATGTGACCGCCTCTTGTGCACGGCGACAACTTTAATTTACACGTTGAGCCCGTAACTGAGTTGGGTGTATTCCTGACCTCAACGACAGCGTCGAAGTCTGCTACCTGCCAATGCCATCTTTAGGGCATACGGAGAGTCATGGAGCCCTGAGTGCACCGCCGTTCCTTGTCTTTTTAGAGCTATCATGACTGCTTCTATCGGATTGCGTAAATTTATCGGGGACCATATCACGTTTTCGAGGACTATGGCTGTTTTTGTTAACCTTGGGTCGCCGACATACGCTCAGCTACTTAAGTACAGTTTAACTATTTTAGGGTTTTCTGTGAATGGCACGAGGTCACATCGTTTTGGCGATGTCAAGGCCAGTGCGATATTAGAGCTCCTTAGCTCTCTTGAAAACCAGTGGCTTTGCCGTGGAGGACACGAGCTAGAAAAACATACCGGCTGCGACACAGGCAGAACGACATTCAGTCCACGAGAAGACAAGTTTTGAGTCCCACCTCCGGACGACAGGATATTTGGCTAGGGTAAAGCCATGTGCGTTCTCCCTGGAGCTCCAAAATAGTGAAACTACCCTGATTGCTCTCCACCCGTCTCTCGCGCATCTCCTCGACGAGCCTCAGCCCCCGTATAGCGTCGTGTAGTATAAAGGAGACCCAAGCAAAATCAACAGTTCGACGGCATAGCGGGGGATGCAGATCGTCTACATACCATGCGGAGGCAAGCTAGGCATGAGGCTGGACACCTCATCTGAGCGCGTGGTCATGTCCTGTCCTGGAGTCCAAATGAAGCCTCCCAGTGATTTGCTCGTCCATTCCGAGGCATCAGTCGCTGAGACAAGCGTAGCTGCAGCGGTTGATGTTAAGTAGGTGCAATCATCAATAATCATCAACCATCATCAATCATCAGTCATCAGTCAATCACTCAAGTTTGTTGAGATGCTGAACACAAAAAATTTGGGGTTAAAATTCCAGCGTTACAAAACGCTGCTAACCACTTAAAGCTGGACCTCAAGATATCGGATGTCCCACTTGCCACTCCTTGGTGCAATTCAACCAGCTCGGCAAGCTGCACGAAGTCGGGATCAGTCCGTTTTGATCAGTATGGCTGTGCCTTCTACGTTAACTGATTAGAGGGCCTTGGCTTGAATCCGCCAAGACATGAATGTGACCAAGGGAACTGCTACTGATGCACGTATTTCATCTCTGATCATCAGCTTCGCACGAGCATGTCGCAAGGGTGAAAAGAGACACATAAGCCATAGCAATTATGCATAACAGGCTGGTATTGCTAACACATGCTTCCGACCTATGTACTGAACCAGTGATGTACCCCCTTTAGACGTACGGGTCTGTGTGCACTTCGTTGTCGGCATGTTTCTCGTATGTTCCATGCTTTAAGTCCCATACATATTCAGATGTATCGAGCGCCGATTAAGGTAACTTGCGTGTTGTGTTCTTTGTCGCTGGCTATGTGACGTATTGCACTCGTTGCAAGACACGGGGAACGAAGAAGACACGTCTTGATGCTGTGCTCGTGCACTGTTATGTACCGCGACAGCTCAAACGGGGTTCATAAAAAATCCTATTGTTAGTCATCTTGTGCGTATTGTTTTCCTAATTCATTTATAGTTTCAAAGCATGCGTATGTCTGACAACCTCCCTTCCCAGAGACGTAATTTTTCTGAATAAGATTTTTGGTGTGCAGTGGAAAATGGATGCACCAAAAACTCGGCGTAAACGGGATTTTCCATAAATTTGA